ATGCTTCTCCCCAGGGAACCTGCTGCGTCTTGCAGGAGATGGCATCACTGTCCCATGCGTGTTTCCATCCCATTCTTGTCCATCTCTGGAGTCAGAACGGGATGCATCTTCCTGAGGCAACGGGGAAGAGTTGGCTCTGCTGGTGGAGCTGGACAGGTGCTGGTAGAATCTCAGAATCATATGGGGTTGGTTCTACGGTGTGCCAGGGTTGCAGGTAGTCCCTGGAAACCATCCACCAACATGACTGATGGTCAGAACCAAGGCTGGAGCCAGATGGTGCTGGAATAAACACCGGGGATTTAAGTGTTTCTGTTTCACAGAGGCTGATCCCAGCTCCTCACCAGCAGGCACGAGGTGGTACCTGCCAGGGGGTTTGGTCAGACATGAACCGTGAGGACTGAAAAGCTCCCTGCTGCAGTGTGGCTGGTTTGGGTGGTAGGAGCATGGGTGCTTGGTAGGAGGGGTGAGGAGCCAGGACAAATTTCTCTATGAAAACCAAACGTTTTTGGTCGTGTTGTTCCTTCCTCATTCCTTTGGTCCTACTGTGCTCCCAGGAGAGAAAACTCACCTGATGGCAGCTGTGATTCACGAGCACGCCTTTGTGGCTGTGAAGATGTGTTCACTGCTGACACTTTTACATACGAAAGGGGTTTTTTTTTGGCACGGAGGGTTGGGTTCAGCACCTTCCGTGGAGGCTCATTCACATGTAGGCACCTTGCTTGCTTCCATGTTTGCTGCGGGAAACGGGGTGAGAAGGAGCAAGGATGGGGAGCTCTCCTGCCCTCTGCTCCTGCTTGTCTCCGATCAGGTCCAGCTCCCTCCATGTTGACCCCACTCAGGGGTGAGCAGGGTGGGCTTTGTGCCTGTCCGGTGGTGCAGATCCCTTGTGGAAGTGGCCCAGCAGCCAGAGGCACCCAGTAAATCCACCTGCCCTCAGTGCTGCTGGGCGAACGGGGCACATTTCAACCCTACTGGGGTGACTGGTGGCCGTGCTGGGGAGCTGGCCCTGGAGCAAGGCGGGAGCAGAGGAGGTGGGGGGCACAGCACCCCGGGGCTGCTGGTGGGCTCAGCTCTGCGGGGGGCTGTTGGCATCAGGAGCAGGTTTTGCTGGGGGCTGCCGCTTGCGCCGCGCTGATGGCAGTGAAGGGAAGCAGAAGGGAAGCAGAAGGCCCACAGTGACGCTGTGGGGAGGAAGCTCCGGCCGCAGGAGGGGATTTCCAGAACATTGCGATCTGCTGCCTATGCAAATCAGGAACTCGAATTAACCTGGCAGGATGGGAGGGCTCTGGGATGGAGGGCAGGGGAAGGGAGTATGGGAGGGTGGGCTGCCGGGAGAGGGAAGGAGGGAGAGTGGAAGGCGTCGGGGGGCGTCGGGGTCAGCAGAGGGATGGAGAAAGGAGATGTTGGGGAGGGATCTGGCTTCTGCCAGACCTCCTGCAGTGCCCTGCCTTCGCAGGGGCTCAGAGTCATGCCGTGGCTTTCCAGGGATGTTGGGCTGCTTGAGCTTTGCCGAGTTTACCCTCTCGCTGAATGAGAGCTCCCTTCTCCCTCTGCCTCTGGCGTGCGAGGCAAGGCTCAGCGTCTTTGCAGGAGGAGATCACCACCTCCTGCCTTCCTCCACAGCCTCACCATCCTCCCCCTCCCTCCTCCACAGTCAGCAGGGGATGGGTTATGGTGGGACCTGGTGCAGCCCCACAGTGGATATGCCAAGAGCTGTGGGAACTGGGTCTGGGAGCGCTCAAAGGATTTCCTTGCGTGCCTTAAGCTTTGGATTATTCAGAGGCCAGATTTGCAGGATCAACAACAGGCGCAAAAGGGATTTTCCCCTCTTCCTCTCTTTCCAGGCCGTGTCTCAGCCAGTTGCAGTGCCTGAGAAAAGGGGTCGCCATCATGTCCTGGAAAGCCAGCTCCAGGGTTGGTGGCGTGGGGAGAGCGACCTCAGTGAGCTCAGCCATTTCCCCAGCCTCATCTCCCCGTGGGGAATGGGCTGCCCCGTGAGCAGCACAGGGATGTGAGGGGCAAGGCTGCTTCTTCCTCCTTGGGCTTGTGAAGAAGAAGAACTGAAGAAGACAGCTCTGCTGGTTCCCAAGACTCAAAGCTGGGTGTCTCCCCTCTGGGGGAAATGGAGGATGGTGGGTGTGATGGAAGTGGCTTTCAGATGTTGCAGCCTCGAACCGAGGACCAAGACCAACATCCTGTGTGTCTCTGCACCAGATACGACTCTTCCCAGGGTCTGGTGGTAAAGAGGAGCTGCGGTGGCCCCTGGAGCTGACTCAGAGGTCCAACCCTCTGCACACCAAATACGGGTTCATGGGTTTTTTCTGGATGTTGCAACCTGTGAAATCTGGTGTTGGCTTTGCCTGGAAGTGAGTCCTTGCCCCCAGCGTTGATGGTGAATGTGCAAAACAGCTGGGTGCTGGTGTGTAAATCCCAGACCCTGGCAGCAGCTTCTCTGCGCCAACCCTGAAGGCTGAAGCTTCCATGGGTGACCAGCGTGGACCTGTCTCCAGCCCTTGCCCTGCTCACAGCCTTTTTAATTCTTCCCCTTTTTTTGTGCTGATCGTTTTCTCCTCTCCTTCTCTTTCCTTTGAACCACTTGCCTTCTGGTTGATCACAGAGGCAAGACATGAGATCTGTGACCAATTGCTCTTGGATCAGGCTGGTTGGAGCCAGCGGATGGAGTGGAGGTGTTCCTAGAGAGCAGTGCTATGAAGAGCATTTTCGCTAGAGCTTGGGATGCTACAGGGATAAAGCTACTTTGAAGGGATGATGACACGCCTACATCGAGAGGGTTTCATGGGCAAAACAGTCCTCACTCGGGGAATTTTTATTTAATGTATTGTCAACACAGATTGCTAGTGAGTAATTTGGACATTAAACAAAACAGATGTTCTTCCTTCCCAGGCTTGGCTTAGGCCAAACATATTCTTTTCCCTTCTTAGACTTGATGTTCCTTCTTTCACCGCAGGTTGCCCTCACTCCATCCCAAATCCTTTGACAAGGTCACGTCACCTTCTGGCTGCCACTTCTCTGAGCTTCTCACTGGGTTTCTTCCACTCCTCTGTGCTTCCCTGTGTCCCAGGGTCCACAGCCTGTCTTGGTGCTGCCGGTCCCAGGCTCTTCTTGGTTTGATTGGTGTCCTTCTTAAGTAACACCCCTGCCCAGCACCTCCTCTGTCCTTCTGGCTGCTTTTAACCAGAATGTCTCATTTCTGTGGGCCTGGTGTGACAATTTAAATGCCGCTGGCTGTTTTCTGCTCCAGCTGTAGCAACCGCTGCGGGAGACGGATTACTATGGAGCTGGGGCAAGACGAAGGCTTTTCGGAGGCAGGACTTTCCAGGAGAGGGAGTTGCTCCAAGGAGGAAATCCCATCCCGCTCTCCCTCCCTGTCCCCAAACACTGTTTGACTCTGGTATCTTGCTCTCATCGTAGGAGCAGTTGGCAGTGGGTGCCAGGGAAATTCCTGGCCTTGAGACCGATGTGTTGGGGTCAGACAGGCTTCCTGGTGGTGGCATCGTCCCAAGCTGGGCTGGGGACCAGCCTGGTCTCACTTGTGGTCCTGTGCTACTTGAGGTACCCGGGAATCACCAGTCACAGGCTTAGGGCAATCCTGGAACAGCCAGAAACTTCCCTGGAGTGTTTATGCCTGTGCCTGGGGAATGCACCCCCTGTACGCACCCCAGGAGCCTCTGTTTTGGCAACAAGGAGGATGTTTGGCAACATCTCGAGATGATGGCTTGCCTGTGGAGGCCCCGTGCTAATGCTGAACAGATTCCCCCTGCCCTGCTCTGGAGGAGCAGAACTCTGCTGCCCCAAATCCAGCTCTCCCAAGGATGCCAGGCTAGGGCCTGTCCCCTGAGCCCCAAAACTTCCTTGGACTTTGCAGCTGGGTTCCCCTGGCTCTGAGGACATTGCCCTGGGTGGGACTGGCTCTGCTCCCTATGGGTGCCATGCGGGGACCAGCTCTCCAGCAGCCTCACGCTTCTGTGAAGCTGGGAGCTGCAGTGCTAAGCCACAGGAAGAGACAGGCAGGTGAAGGTTTGGGTTATATCCTCCCTTCAAAACATCTTCTGCATCTGCTCAAAGCCTTTGCACAGCAGGTTCCTGGCCAAGCAGGTGACCCACAGCCCACCAGGCACTGCCTGGACAAGGATGTCCGTTCCTACTTACACACAGGGAGAAGATAGAAGAGCCCAGATCTCTATGGGAGAGGGTGCAAAAGCTTCAGCTGGGCTGTTTCCCCCCAAGAGAGGTGATTTTTGTTACAAGGGGATGTTTTACAGGAAGGCATCAAGGGAATTTTCAGTGAAATAACAACCAGCTGGGTCATTGCAGCTTCCCTGGTTTGTCTCTACATGTTGCTGCTTCTCGACCTCAGCTGGTTTTGAAGTGTTATAATAATATTGTGTTATTATTCCTACCGCTGCTTTGATATTTTGAAGGTGAAGCTTTCCTCACCCAGCTGTTCTGAGGAAGACTTGGGTATTCGAGGCTTGTTGTTCTGACTTGGAAACAATTGAAAGTGCTGGAATTTCCCACTTTTGGAAATTCCAGTTCTTTTCTCCTGGGCGCTGGGGGGGGAAGTGCAAACATAAACTGTTTGGGGGTGTAGCCTCTATGGCATGTGCCTTTCGACTGCTTCTTCAGCAGCTTGAAAGCACAGGAAACCGCGTGCAAGGACGGGTGAATGCCATCGAGTCCGATTTGTATCTCTGGTCTATAAAAGCATCATCCACGCAGCGGCACGAACCCTGCCGGGGGTTTTCGGAGGCACGAAGTGAAGCTCTCAGTGAGATCACAGCGCTGCCGTTTAGCCCCAGATGCATTTCCAGCCCCTTTCTCAGCCCTGGGGGACCCTGTGGTGCTGCTCAGAGGGGTTTTGGGGTCTCCAGGGCTCTCCCTGGGGCTGGGGGAGGGCTCCTGCAAGAGCAAGGAGACACTGAGACTCAGCACAGGCTCCGTCTCACCCAAACCCCCCCCAATAAATCGACTCTCTTGGCCGCAGGGTCAGCAACAGGAAGGTTTTATTTATTGATGAGTTTTAAAATTGTCTTTTCCATCTGGGTAAATTCCTGGGTTAGTGGCATGTTTGGGTAGGAATTATTTTGCTCCGAGACAGACAGTAAACCCCTTACCCAGACCCTTCTTCTCCCCTCCCCGAGACTCCCCCTACCCCCCCCCGCTTGCAATGTGGTGCCGCTTTCCAGCGCCAAGTGGGAAAGTGCAGTCCTCTGCAGGGAACCCAGCGTCCCCCAAAGCCCCCGAAGCTGCAGTGACATCAAGGCGGTGGGTGGGTGCGTGTGTGCTGGCTCAGACACCAAGAAGGGGCTCCTGCCACCTAGTCCTCCCCCCCGCACAGGGCCAGCAGAGCCTTGCGGTAGTCGCCGGAGGTGTCCTTCTGCAAGAGGGAGACCCATGTCAGAGAGCTGCTGGCTGATGCCTACCCCATGGAAGCCCAGTTCAGGGCCCTTGGCCACCTCACAGGCATCCACACAGCAGTGGAAGGTGTTGGCACATCCCCTCTACAGCCAGACCTGCCCACACCAGGGCTGTTTGGGGCAGGTTCTCCCTCCCCAGGAGATGCTCAGCCCTTTATGTCACTCATGACAGTGCTCATGGCTTGGGTCCCCACAGGGCTAATGGCCAGAGCTCAGCCAGCCAAAAATCCCTAGGAGGGATGCCCAGGTCCCCTCACCTCGATCATGTGGTGCAGGGATTTGTCAAACAGGTCCATGAACTCGCCCCGGATGTTGAGAAGGTCGATCTCGCTCCGAGAAATCATGATCCGAGTGAGGGTCCTCTCATCCGTGCCAGCGCCCTGCAAAAGGAGAGCTTGAACAAATAACCCTCAAGGGACTGGGGTCCATCTCCAGCACAGGCCAAGCTGGGGACTGGATCCAGAGGAACATGATCAGAAGGATGGAGCACCTCTGCTGGGAGAACAGGCTGAGGAGTTGGGGTTATTCAGCCTGGAGAAAAGAAGGTGCTGGGGAGACCTTATAGCATCCTCTCAGTACTTAAAGGGGCTTATAAGAAAGATGGGGACAGAGTTTTTAGCAGGACCTGTTGCAGCAGGACAAGGAGTAATGGTTTTAAACTAAGAGACAGTAGATTCAGACTAGATACAAGGAAGAAGCTTTTTACAGTGAAGATGGTGAAACACTGTGAACAGGTTGCCTGGAGAGGTGGTAGATGTCCCATCCCTGGAAACATCCAAGGTCAGGTTGGACAGGGCTCTGAGCAACCTAATCAAGTTGAAGATGATCCTGCTCATGGCAGGGGGGTTGGACTAGGTGATGAAAGCTGATGCTGCTCATGGCAGGGGGGTTGGACTAGATGATGAAAGTATTGGTTTGAGCTCAGCCTTGCCCTGCTCCCTCAGGGGCCACATCCCATCACTGCTGTAGGGTTAAATCAGAGAGTCCCAAAGGATGGCTGCCCACCATAGCCCCCTCCCTCAGCCCAGCCCCAGAAGAACCCGTCTGCACCTTCATGGATTTGTAGAGCTTGTCAGCGAAGAAGGCTGGCTTGTTCTTCACGCTTCGGACTGCAAGGAAAGGAGAGAAAGTGGGCTCCTGGCTCACAGCACCCAGGGGACACATCGCAGTGAGGAGGTATTCCACTAATTTTGCCACCAGCTGCAAACCCTCCTGGGTACAAGGGTGCAGGCTTGGCCCCATAAGACACCCCATAAATGCTCCAACCCTACACCACACTGGAGTTCTCCATGGCACAAAGGCAGCAAGAATCTGCCCTCGGGTTCCCTTGGCAGAGGCAGGTGAAGGGGCTGCCTGCCTTCTGGGGATCCCAGCCCCAAGGGTTCACCCGCTGGGCACTGACCGATGGCCAAGAAGGCGTCCCTCACATCTCCTGACATCCGCTTCCTGATGGCGTGCTCCACATCATGGTTGGTCATTTTGATAAACTCCTGAAACACTGGGAATGGGAAAGAGAAGAAGGTCACCACCACCAAGCCACTCCATCCCAGCCCTGGGCACCCAGGAGAACCTGAACCTCAACCACGGAGACTTCTGTCCAGGTGGGATCAGAGCAGGCTTGGGTGACCTCAACCAGCCATCCCAAATGCCATCTGCTCCCACCACTGGGGAAACAGGGCCACCCCAGCCTCCTGCTGCCCAGGAGTAGACATGGTCCTACCTCTGCGGAGGTGGGGGTAGCTGCGGGTGCAGAGGATGCTGAGGAAGCGGGTCTCCAGGGAGTCACTGGAGTCGTTGCTGGAGACATCAGCAAGTTTCTGAAAGAGAGAGCAATCAATAGTGAAGAGGGAGGCAGGGGGACGGACATAGCAGAGAGGGGTAAAGATGTCAAACAGCTCTTCCTGGGACAGCCAGTCCTGAACACCCTCTTGCAAAGGCGGTGGCCTCTTATCAGCAGAAAAATAGCTTCTTTTAGCCAAAAAAGGCTTTTTCTGTGCACGGGTGTGAAGGTGCACAGCTGCACGCCCACACATTACCTCTGAGAAAAGATGTTTTCGAGTGTTTATGAAAAAAAAGCTTTGTAATGCTCATGGTTAAGACTTTTTTTCTTTTTTTTTTTTTGTCCTATGGGGAGATTGTTTTGGGAGTGACCAACATTGAGTGGGAAATTCAGAGCTGCCAGACACAGGAGCCACCCTCCACCCTGGGCTGCACAGTGATTGCCCATGGCTCAGAGGGCTGCCACCCCTGTTGTGGGGCTCAGTTGGGGGGCTATACTCATCAAACCTCAGGCTATTGCAGTAGGAAGTCTCCCTTTCCCCAAATTCCCACTTTTGGTGAGCCAGGGAAGTCAACCCTGGGTTCCACATGTCCAGGAACGTGGGAGCTGCATGCAGGCAGTGGGCAGGGTTGGTCCCCAGCCCTCCCAAGGGCAGGAAGGTGGCTTTCCTTCTCTCCTGCCTTCCCCCCTCCCATCCCAGTGCTGCAGGGAAACATCCTCGTGCAGGTCCCATCCATCCCCTTGCCACCCCATCATGCAAGGGGTGAAGCCCCAAGCAAGCAAGCATGGCCAAAGGAGTCCCAGCACATGGGGCTGCTCCCCCCAGCCCTGCATCCGAGGACCCCAGCATCCCCTCAAACATGCAGAAGGCTGAGGAGCAAAGGGGTGGGCACTCACCAGGGTCTCAGCAA